GGGACATAGGCCTTCGAGAACGTCGACGAAGACATAGGACGGTAGACGAGGAAGACGACGAGTTCAAATGTGATTGCGGCTTCGAATGCGAAGACCGTGTTCATGTAGTCGCGGAATGTCCGTTGTACAAGAAGGAGAGGGAAGTGTACGTGACTGAGCTGGGAAAAATAGATGGAACGTACAGGGAGATGTTTGAGGCATGGAATAGAGAGGAAAGGACGGTAGCTGTACTGGGGCATGGGAGGTGGGTTGAAAAGGCGGGAAGTGATATCGTTAGGGAAGACATGATTGATCTACCTTTGGCAAAGTAGAAAGGAACGATTGGCCATCGTTGATCGGTCCTGTGGGAACAATGCTCCGTCCTCTCGAGGACGCGTGGTCCATGGTCTAACCGCGAAGGCATGCAAAACATAAGAGTACGCCCCCCCCCCGGCGGCCGTGCCCCCCTCCGTCCTCGTCTCGTTTAGGCTGTGTACATCTACGAGTCCATATTCGCGAGGCAACAGGCGGAGAACTGGGACCCCGCGGACAAGGATGCGGTGGACCTGCACGGCTACTCTCAGGCCGTGGCGAAGGCGGCTATTCGATCGGGACTGTCGAGAGTCCTGCAGAGATACTTGGTGGCAGGTAAGGATACGATATCGGGGGCAGGGCTTGAGTTGAAGCGGAACTTGAGTCAGGTTAGCACAAAGAGGGTCATGGGTCGTAACTATGGTTTATGCGGCAGACGAGTTGGCGGCAGGGGTTGGGTTGAAGCGGCACTGAGTCTGGTTAGCACAAAGAGGGTCATCGGTCGTAACTAAGGTTTATGCGGCAGACGAATTGGGGGCAGGGGTTTGGTTGAAGCGGCACTTGAGTCAGGTCTGCAAAGAGGTTGTAGTCGTAGCTACTGTTAGATGCGGCAGGTGCAGAGGAATGCTGGTGAGTGGTTGATGGTCATTGCCAGCAACAGAGCGCATTGCCTTCGGAATACGCTGCGTTCGTTTCCAGTGAATCGTGGCGGGTGCACGTTTGCGTAGCATACGCAGATTTCATTTCGTCGGCGGTGAAACTAGGAGTTCACATTGCTGTGTGCACACGGGACGCGCTTTCATCCTGGGGTGAGATATTCCCGCCGTGCCGAATTCGATTTTTGGGGAGTGCGAGAGTGTTAACAAAACGAGGAGTCACAGCCGTAAGACTCAACAACGAATCATGGTTCCCCACCTCCGCCCCATCACCCCTGCCCCACGCCGCCGCTTTGTACTTGTGCGGCAAACTAAAAAATGCCAAATTTAGAGAAAGACCCTTCGGTGGTGGAGCAGTTCACGATTATCACCGGACGAGGGAGACACAGCCGGCAAGCCTTCGAGCCGGTGCTGAGGCCAGTGGCACAAGACATGCTCCTGGAGGAGTTCGAACCTCCCTTGCCGACGCATTTCGACCCCACCAACGACGGCCGCTTGCAGGTACTGTACAAGTAGGAAGAAAAGAAAAGGAATCCCTGTCTTTACATCATGGTTTATCCGTTTCCGCTCGTTCGTTTTTGCTGTTTTTTTTATTGTGCTGGTTTTGTTTCTAGGTTTTCGTTGGATCGTTTCTGTTTGTTTCTTGACCAGACCGGGTTTGCACGGTGCACAGCACCAGAGAGTTACCACGTGGCGTTAGAAAGGAAAGTTGAGTATTCCCGCTTCGCCTTCTCGAAACGCTCCCTCACGAGTGCGCACGTCGAACACACCGGCACACGCACAAGCGTGTCTGTAGTTTCGGCCCTGCGATGATTAGACTGGATTTATCCACTGGTCAGCCGGTTCACGCACAAGCGTGTCTGTAGTTTCGGCCCTGCGATGATTAGACTGGATTTATCCACTGGTCAGCCGGTTCGCTCGATCGATGCTCGTGTCAGAAAATACATGAGCACACTATTTCACCCACACGGCTGCTGATGCGTTTTCATTGGTCAGCCGATAAAGATACAGATAGGACTCCTGCGTTTCCACTGTCGGCACAAATCTTCACCAAGAAAGCGTGTTCGCGTTTAAAATCCCGCTACAATAAGCTTTTTTAATTGGTCAGCCGGTAAAGCTCCGTGTGTGACGCAAACACTCTCAACATCGCGTTTGCAGGTGCGAAAGGAGGACATCCTTGCTTGGTGCTCGCGGGAGTCCGAAAAGGGCAGACGAGCACCCGCACCGGCCGATGACGTGGGATCTCTCAAGCTCCGCGGCGTGGCAGACCTAAAGCTGGCGTACGACAGGGCCGTCCACGAAGCAGCAGCAACGGCAACCCCGGGGGATGAAGTGAAGGGCAAAGAGGCGGGGTGGTCTGGGGTTGGGTGGAGCCGAAACGCCAACGAGAGCGAGATGGTGTGATTGTTCGGTAGATTGAGGTATCTAGTGAGTGAAGAGAAGAGAGAGGATTCGTGTTGTTTCGTTTTTATTCCTTTTTTGGGGATCGCATTCTTGTTTTGCCCCTTTTTCTCCTTTGAAATCTGGGAGTGTTATTGAAGGGTAGAATCGAGGGCGTCAGAATAATCGGGAGACGGGCGGTTCGGGTCGACCTCCAACAGAGAGGTATGACGTGATGGGCCGTTGAAGTTGAGCAATAATGTTGGCTTGCTCTTGCGGTGAGGTTTGGTAGACAGAGAGAGAGAACGGGTGGCGTGACCATAGTACCTGATGGAGGGCGAATGCCACTTCTCTTCGCGTACGTACGTCGTCTGTGGCCATCTCGACCAAGCTATGTGCCATCTAGACTAAGCCATGTGTAACCGATTGGAGAAGCAGAGCGCACAAAAAAGACTCTCGGCCGTAGAGTCCAGAACGCTTGTTTTTTCCACCGTAGTGGGGAGTACGCTGCCGTTGCTTTTCATCTGGTCTCGCTCCCTTCTGTCTGTAGGCAATGGCACGAGTGTCTCTGCGTAAGTCTTCGGTACTGCGGGCTTTTTCATGGCCGGGATCACAAAAGAAAACAAGTTTTCGTCTTAGTAAACCGTGTTTGCGAGGTACAGTACTATTTTGCTGAAGCGTTGCTTTGGAGGACTGCATCTTGCGGTCTACCTCCCAATTCTGGCGACGTTCCAAGTGGCCTGAAGAGGTCGTGTCAACATACTAACTTTTGATCATGCTCGGTTTGGTTCGGTCTCTTGTCTGCAACTTCACGACACCTCACTCCATTTGTTGTTGAACAGCCATACTCGCGAGAATCGGGTGGGTGTGCTATGAACTTCTTACCGAGAGACTCGACGACGCAGACCACCGTCCAGAATACGACTGTACTGCCATGTCCGCGACCAGCTTCAGGAAGCGTACGGGGCTTCGCGGCCGATCGGCGTTTGGCAGAAGAAACAACACATGAACAGACGGACGTGGGAATCTCTTGATTCCCTTCTCGATGTGTTTTTGCGCAGCCTCCGCCGAGATGGGCACGGTCCCATGATGGGTCAATCATCACGTGGGACAAGCAGCCGGGTTCCGTGTGCCTTCACGCCGACGGCTGTAAATGGGCTGGAAATGACCAGCCCGACCGAGTGCCCGATGGGCGTCCGGCAGAAGAAACAACACACGAACATGCTTGCACAACAGCTGGGTGGGGTGGGGAGGGGGTGATGCGAGGTTTACACGACGAGCGATTTTTCCTTGCGCGTTTGTGGTGTCCGGGCTGTCCAAAACACGCGAGAGAGAGCGCGCCATCACTATGTTCTTTGTGCAGTGTTAGTCAGTGGTTGGGTACGAGCCTACCCTTGGTGCTACTTTTGCAGCTCCGACAAAAGGGCGGCTTTGGTTCAGTGCGTTGCCCAAGCAAAGCCTTGTTGTGCTTCATGGGATCAACCGCAAGCGGAATAGATGAGTTGCCGCTCGATTTGGGGCATTCACGTGTAGCAACGGCCCATTGTGTATACGCCTCTCGTCACCGAACCCCCTTTCCGCCCCTCCTCCTCTCCGTCGAGAAGCAAACTTTAGACATGCTGCCTCCCCCCTCGGCAACGTTACCTACTCCATTTCATCTTCCTGTCTGCACAACCTAAAACAAAAAGATTATGCTTGAACGAAAATCACACATTGGCGGACGCCGTCACGCGCACGCTTCCGTGACAGGCCACCACATAAAACTACTGTAATTCCCCCCCCCCCAATAAAAAAGGCGAACAGCCCGAAATAAAATAGTCGGTGTAACCAATCAGGGACCTTTTACACTACGTACTAAACACGTTGCTGGAAGAGTAAATCCTTATGCCCGCAGGCACACACAATCAGCGCACTGATTAATGACGTGCGCCGACGTTCCGTGAGTTTTCGCCTCATGCCCCAACACTACAAAGCAAATTCATCGTCCGAAGAACACGCTTCTAGCACGATACCGTCCGTTCCTGCCCCTCCGCTGACTGCCCCGCCGCTTGAGGAGGTCGGTCTCGGCGGCGAAACGGCGGTTCGAGGCCGAGAGCGCGGCGGCACAGGGGGCGACGGGCTATCCAGGCTGAGGTCCACGACACCACCGCCGCCGCCGCCGCCACCGTCGTCCACCGAACGCGAAGCGGCAGGGGGCAAGGAACCGAGCGACGATCCCGACCCCTTCCCACCACCGCCGCTACCGCTGGCGCTCCCGGAGCTGTTTGCCTGCCGCAGATCACTGTCGCCGCCTCTCCCACCGCCACCTTTTTGATCGTCGTCCTCGTCGTCGCATACGAAAGAGAGCGACCGCGCCTTCTTGATTCTTGTCCCTTCCACACCGCCCCACTCCCTCCCATCACCACTTTTGATGCCCTGCGCCCAATACTGGAGGGGAGAGGAGGCACCGTCTCCGTCACGACTACCCTCGTCCGCCGGCCGAGGGCGCTTCCTGCGACTGCTCGAGTTCCGGCCTACGCTACCGCTCTGCCCCCCGCCCCCCCTTGCTAACGTCGTCGGCAGCGGAGAGTCCTCCGCCCCCTCCCCCCCGTGAAGAACTGATCTCGACGAGGTTGCCGACCTTCCTGGTTCTGACGGGGACAGAGTTATCGGCGATGTTCTTCTGACGCTGGAAGCAGCAGCTGCGGAGGAGACGCCTCCACCTGCGGTGGATGATGATGAGGTTCCCGCCGCCGCCGCTGGCGCCGACTTCCCCTTGCTACCTGAGGTCGAGCCACTACCGCTACCGGCAGAAGAGCCGGAAGCGGAACCACCGCCTCCATCGATGGGGCGAACGACTACTTCGACGACGCTGCACCCGTCGGAAGAGTCCGAGGCTGCACCGGGGTCGGGGGACCCGTCGATGTCGATGGCACCTTCCCACGTCGACGCAGCCTTCGGGGCACGGCTTTCTGCACTTTCTTCTCGAACCCGCGCATCGCCGACAGCGGCGCAATCACCCTCCGCCTTACCGCTTCCCCTGGCGATGTCTTCGCCCCTCCTCGCCACCCCGAAAGCCCCGTCAAGCGTGCGCTGGCGCAATCCGCCGCAGGCAGGCCGTGAGGCAAGGGGGGGTCGACCGCACCCCCCTGCCACCGCGGACGTCGGGGGCCGACCCCGCCTGCCTCCGCGCGCGGCTTTGGCGGCAGCTGCGGCTTTGCCTGCGGCAGCGGCGGCAGCCGCGCTCGTGGGGGTGACAGGCACCTGGCCCTTGCTGAAGCGGATCAGGTTCTGCCAGGTGAAGAAGGATTCGAAGTCGAGCGATCTGGCTTCGAATTGTATCTGGAGGGACTGCGTCGCGTCCGCGAGGTAGGCGCTGAAGGAGGCGAAGTCGTTATGGCGCACCACCTCCGCAGAACAAACCAGTCGTAACCGTGGCAACAAAAAAGCCGATGGGACGGAGTTAACAACACGGCTACACGGAGAAGGAGCCCATTCGCGTTGTAGTGCAGATCCGTCCAAGCCAATTGTCAAGAGGCAACCATCACTCCGATGTCGCTTTTTCGTTCCGAGAGCGGCGGCGGCTACACTATCATCATCATTCGAAACACGCCTCATCACAACAAGATCGTCCGACACACGCCTGCCTCATCACAACAACAACGAAGAAGGGCGCACCTTGAACCCCTGCGTTTCCGCCTGACGCAGCGCCTCGTCGAGGTCCTCGGGGGTCAAGCCTCGACGGTAGATCTCGTCCACGAAGCGCCCGTCTGCCGTGTCTCCCTCCACGTGCACTTCAACCTCGGCCGCGACTCCTTCGCTCTTGGCGCGAAGCATGGCCTTCTTCTGACGGACCAGGCGCCTGCAGGTTTTCACCGACAGGAGAGGGGATACGATTTTCGGAACGAGGGAGTTCAGCGCGCGCAGGTTGCACAAGATATCACACCCCCCGGACCTCTTTTCAAGCCCGATTACTCTGCACTACCGTGCTGAAAATGGTATTGTTGAGAGAGAGAGCTTTCCAAACGTATGATTTTGATGTCGTCATCGTCGTCGTTGTGGATGAATCAAGCTTTGGCAATCGTTCCAAGGTGTGTGGTATACAATGTCACCTACCTAGGTACATTACCAGGGCCGGGTGTGGGGTCAGCTTGATACTGAGCACCAGGTGCTCGCCCAGATGATGGTCGTGCTCTTTTACACACGTAACAAGCCCCCGGTCGTGCCCTTCTATCGACAAAGTCGAAAGGGCGCCGGCCCTTCACCTAACCAAGGTGCGCCGCACCCCCGCCATGGTTGGCTCGTCGAAACCACCAGCCTTCTGCACCCCCCTACGGTAGACTCACGGAAGCCACCAAACATTGGTGTTCCCCCGAATTGATTCCGCTCCAACACCAGAGACCCCAAACGAGCCAACCTCACGCCATCGCCGTATCTAATGTACAACAGTTCGTACATCCGAGACTGAGAAACGCACCCGTCCTTCATGGACTCGGCAAGATCATCGACGCGCTTCCTCTCCAGGAGACGTGGCACTACGAATTCCCTTTCGTACCCTACCTGTGATCAAAAAAGGGAGAGCGACAAGCGGGACACAGGAAAAAAAACCATGTCGGGATCGTAGAGGCGGCGGGAAGTAAAGGTAGCGGCACCCTCCCGTTGTTGATGAGAAGGTGGGTGTCTCCGTCTCATTTGCCCTATCGCCACTCCTTGTTCATGTTTGATGCATGTATCAGCTGGCGTCACACAGGGTCTTTTCGTTCTTTCACCACGGTAAAAACGCACATCCACGCTGTTCCCGCTGAGAAGGGGTGCGCCCGCCGATGAGTCAGTCCTACAGGCCAACACGACCGCGGCCACAGAAGAGAGGAGTTTGCGGTACGGTACGATTATTCGCACACCACGACGCCGACAGTTTGCCACGCCCGTCGCAACCGTAGCCTCCGCTGCTCAAGCGGTACAACTGCGAGCAAGAGCACGGGACTGCGCTGCAACTCCGCGGGGTACTCCGACCGCACACGAAGCAAACAAAACGTACCTCCCCCGCTGCGGGAGGTTTTCCCGCATCTGGCTGCACCACCCAGCCGTAGTCCCCGATCTTCCACTCCCGAACCTCGTAAGGCACGCCGCGGCTGTTGAGGTAGTTCGTCAGGTGAGAAATCTTCGCGTGACGTAGGGGGTAGGACGGGAGCAGGACGAGAGGAGGCGGGGGCCGGTGGCGAAGGAACAAGGTTTAAAGATGCAAACGGTAAGGGTTTTTGGAACAGCGCACCGGTCCTGAGACCGGTGCTCGTTTTGCCGGGGGGAGCGGGGGGCGTACTCTTATGTTTTGCATGCCTTAGCGGTTTGACCATTGATCACGCGTCTCGAGAGGACGGAGCATTGTTCCCACAGGACCGATCCCCGATGGCCAATCGTTCCTTCCTACTTTGCAATAGTGGGGGAAAGGGAAACAACCGCATGACCGCGATACCCCTTCCTCGGCAATAATGAAAATGGGATTGTTGGCTGCGGTGCTGAACTTGTTGCGGGAGTCTTCGGGCTATTCGGAAACTGAAAAACCTTAACTCCGCTTTAAGCTCTCTCTCTCTCTCTCTCTCTCTCTCTCTCTCTCTCTCTCTCTCTTTCCGCCATGATTTCAAGAAAATCCGACATGCGTCCACCTGGGCGATGCGTTGTTTACTGGCCGGCAACATCGAGAGCAGCCATACCACAACGGATTGTCAAAAGCACTCAGAACGACACATCAGGGCACGTACCACACCACAGCATCGGGAAGCAGAAGAGAATGCACGGCTTCATAGTACAGATCAGCAAATCGTACGTTTCACGAAGCACCAAACAAACAACCAGAACTACGACATCCCCAATAGTGCGGGCACTTTTTTTCGCTCTCTCTCTCTGGCGGCTCAACCGACCGCGCATCACCTGGCTGTTGCTCGTCACCCCCCGTTTCTCCCTGTTGTCGATGAGCAGCCTCACTCCGGGCTTGGCGGCTCCGTTGGCTCTCGTCGGCGCCAGCGGGGAGTGCCCGTTGCGGGTCGAAGCGGCCGTCCCGCCCCCGCCCCCGCCGTCCCTCTCCGAGCAGCTCGCGTACCTATCATTATCATTATCTTTATCATCCGTGATGTTTACAGGCCGGTGGCATGAATACGGCGGTAGGGATCTATCACAGTCGGAGCGAGTCTTTTTAGGGTCTGATGGGCGAACAGGTTTTCTCCGGTCTGACCAAGGACGCCCCCCCCCGCCCCCCCTCCAAGTGCAAAAGACAAAGTTCCCATAACTCTCTTGGTACTGATGTGCTTCGGCACGACTTTTAACTACTGCATGACAGTTGGAGCAAGTTTTTGGGCAGTCTGATGAACGAATATGCATTCCCCAGTCTGACAGAGGACCCCTTCCCAACAGTAACGACCAAGTTTCTAAACTGATGCACTTCGCTCCGACACCTCTGTCCCCCCCCTCTCCTGCAAAGGAAAGGATGATGGCCAGTTTCTGGTTCATCCCTTCTGAAACGTAGCCCGGGCCGGCGAAAACCCGGCATACCGCTCCGTCCCACCATTGTAGGGGTGCGAGGTCAAAGGTCTAACGACTACGGCATGCACGACCATGAGTACACCCCCGTCTCCTGCTTACGAGCTGCGGTTAAGGATCGGGCTGGCGGTAACGGTCGCGTTCACATTGCCCGACGACGCTCCGGATCCTGGTCCCTCGCCAATCGCTCGCTCCAGCCGCGTCGCCATCCATTCACCGTTCGGCGTGAGGGAATATATCTGAGGGGCGGGGGCGGGGGGGTGTACTCATAGTCGTGCATGCCGTAGTCGTTAGACCATTGACCTCTTGGGGGGAGAGATAGAAATGGTTCACGTAACACGCGCACCATTCTTCCAGCTCTAAATTCAATCACATAGTGCATGCATGAACACGGCCGGCACGGCATGCCGAGTGGCACACCACACCGCATGTTTTTCCTGAGCAAACTCGGTACCTACGAACACATTTCTACCACGCGTCTTGAAAACTGAAAGCTGGGAAACAGCTCGTCAAAGTCCGTCCGGGTGCAGCAACTTTTTGAGATTTCACCTGCCTGTCGTATCGGTTGAAACAAGCACAAAAGCAGAGGCAACGGAGAGGGTTGTGTCCGCGTTCAAGTTCCTGCCAACCTCATTAACTAAATTTCGGTCATGAATGGTCTGTGCAAACCGCTTCTTCATGCCACTGCGTCCTACGCTATTTGTCTCGACGTCGGTTAAGGTTGGTGTCCCCCAAACGCCCCCCCCCCCCGGGGAACAATGCTCCGTCCTCTCGAGGACGCATGGTCAATGGTCTAACCGCTGAGGCATGCAAAACATACGAGCACGCCCCCCCCTCCCCCCCTCTAATGGAATAGCCAGGAGAAGACGGTAGCTGTGCTGGGGCATCGGAAGTGGGTTGAAAAGACAGGAAGTGATATCGATAGGATAGATAAGCTAGGGAGAGCATTATTGAGCCATCTCTGGCAAAGTAGGAACGAACGATTGTCCATCGGTGATCGGTTCTGTGGGAACAATGCTCCGTCCTCTCTAGGACGCGTGGTCAATGGTCTAACCGCTAAGGCATGCGAAACATACGAGAACGCCCCCCCTCCCCCCCCCCAGGATTCTTCGGACATGCTCATACCGCCCAGTCTCTAAAGCACCCATGAATGTCATCTCATCCCTGTCTACACTACATCCCCGTAGCCCAACACCACGCGCTGCGAACTCACAGTCTTGGCATTCTTGACGAACTCCTTCCGCCACAGAGCGGTTAGCCCGTTGGCAACGTCCGGCCCTTTCCACTTTTCTACCCGGTGCAGCTCCACCTTGAGCAAGGCCTCTCCCAGGAGCCGGCGGTACCAACCGGCCTTTATCTTGCCGCCTTTCGGAGGGGAGGGAGGTGGGTCGTGTGCGCTGCCTGCTGCATTGCGGTCGCTCTCAAGCGGCGATAGGTCGAGCTCGTCGAGGGCCATCTAAGGGGGTTGCGGGCAATCGAGGGCGTGAGCAGACTGGGGCTGGTTATCGCCCATGTCGTTGTTGTTGCTGTTGAAGCACTTGCGTGTACTCTTGTGACTGTTGTTGCAGTTCCTGTTGTGGTTGATTTCGTTACAATGCGATTGTTGTTGTTTTCGTGGCGGTATCATGGTTGTCTTCTTGTCTTCTTGTCCTCTTGTCCTCTTGTCTTCTTGTCTTCAGCACGAGACAGCTGTAAACTGGCCCCTGCACTCTTTTGTCCCCCGCCGCTTGCACCGACCCGACCGACATGCCACAACTTCCGAAAAAAGAAAATAGTAACAGCCCAATGCGAACACGCCTCAGTCCAAACGAAAACCGACCGTCGTGCCTTAGTTTTGCGACCTGTAGGTGACTGGAATGTGTCTTCGTTGGTGTCACCCCGACAGCTTGGACAGACAAGATGCAACGACGTTACTGCTTCTGACAAGTCTTCGGGCAAGAACTACTTGTAGACAAACAAAGCGTACAACTCTCCCTGTCAAGCGTGTTGTCTGTAGGATTTTGTCACCACGCCTGATAGGTAGACGTGTACGCTTTGTTTGTCTAGTTCTTGCGTCCGCACTGCATCTTGTCTAATGTCTCCACAGAGTAAAAAACCGTTCCGGTCTCCGTTCAGTACCTTCAAAAATCCGTACTGGTCTATCTGACGCGGACGCCTTCCGTGGTCTCAAGTCAACCACCTAAAGAGCGGTGCACCTTTCCGGAACGAAGAAAAAAAAAGAATGGACCCAGAAAAAATCCTCCAGATGCGGCAATAGCGTAGGCGCAAATATGTGCTCCATATATATCATGGTGTATTATCGCAAAAAGTCTCAGGCCCTCACCGGATCGCACGCCTTGCCGGATTTCCCTTTATCCTTCCCAGCGGCTTTCTTGCGCTTGCCCCCCCCACCTCCCATCTCCGTATAGTGTTCGTCGCAGTACACGCTCCTGCTCCAGATAGGACGATCACGCGGGTTAGAAAGGACGAGAAAGGTTTTGGTACATAAGTATGGCATGAGCGTTGGTACATCGCCAAAACAACGGGTGGTGATGTGGTCGTTGCGTAGCCGAACACAAAATACGATAACTCTTAAGCATGCGTGGTTCGTACTTAGCAAATGGGGAAAAAAAGTTAGGACAAAAAGGCATTTATCCCGGGAACCAGCCCAATCTCCCACCTTAAGGGCAATGGACGCTCTGCAGCAAGCCCTCATCGAATCAAATCTTAAAAAGATCCAGTACAATATAACAACGAGGGCACCAACAATCTAACGACACGTTTCCGGACAGCTCTCGAAGAGGTCGATCACCCTAGTCGGCGCTTACACCCACGCTGCTAGTACGAATACATGGAGACTTTGAATTATCGGTTCTGGGGGAGGCTTAACTCTAATAGCGACTTCATGTTGCTCAAGAGTGTTTAGTACCTCAGGAAGGTGGCGGGTTTAACCCTCTCGCTGAGGTCTCCCATGCGCTTCGTGGCGTAGGCGTTGCAGCCCGGGCTGCTGCATATCGGCCGCTCTCCCAGCTCCTGAAACGAAACCAATCGCACACATGCTGAATATTTTTCTAAGCCACTGGCACGCTCGTCAACGTTTGAACCATTGAAGGTTGCTGCGGTCGTCACATCGTTCGCCACGCTCATGCTGAAAAAAAAAAAATCAAGCTGAATCAAGCCGTAAAATACGTCGGTCTGTACGGGTGACCCAGATGAGGCTTCTGCGCGTAGTTTCGTCGTCGGTGATGTGGTGTGAAAACGGTGAGCTTCACGCCTGAAAAAGGCGAGTTGGCAACAGTACCAGCTGCCGAAGCAGCAGGGAGATCCCAAACAACAAGGTGAAACAAACAAAAATCACCGCTCATCGACGCAATACACCCGCCACCACCATCACATGTACAAGCACCGCCAGTAAGAACATCGCACTTAGGCTCACAACACCCAACGATTGCACGAATGAGCAGAAAGGTCCGACGTACCACGAGACGCGGCTTCGGCGAGTCGTGCGGGCATACCTGTAGCTGTGCGACGGTTGCTTTCTCGTCGAGATCCTTCTTCGCCACGCAGTCGAACTTGTTGTGGTTCGTGAGGTAGGCCATGGAGCACCAGGCGAAGTTTTCCACCTCTCCTGTAGGCGTGTCCGGCGAAAACTCGGGAAATCTTTAGTCAGCAACCGTTAGCGAATCTCTCTATTTGCTCCAGGGCCAGGTACGTCACTACGCTCTCCACCCCAAAGATCTAAGCCAGCCACTCTCCCAACCTGGCGTTCCGTGATCCTCCTCTCTCCCTTGAGAGAACCAGGTCATGCGCAACTGCTGTAGAGGTGTCAAGCCATAAAGCTCGTCTCGGTTTTCGCCGCAACCACACAAGCCCATGTCTCCGGTCCAAACTCTTAGGCGATATGCCACTGTACCCCTACCTTAAAACAACCGCGCCGCCGACCTCGGTCACCCAGCTCCTACATGTACCGAAAACTCGAAGAAGCAGTTTGGACACACAGAATCACCGCCGTGACAAAACTTGAAAGAAAAAAAAAGTTGGATCTTCACGATTGTGTGCGGTATAGCCCACGCAGCGGAAGCGGGCACTTCGATGTTTGAACCCGCCCAGGCAAGGCGCCGCTTGGTCTTCACTGGGATGCGCGTCGTCAACTTCCTCAAGACTGTGACCCTCATGCTAACAGCAACCCCACCTCCTTCAATTCTACCCGCTACCCCTGGTGGCACTGTCCTCACCCAGTACGATCTCGTCTCCTCGATGGGTGAGGTCCTCCTCGCAGAGGGGGGCGGCCAGACGTCTTATCTCCTTCTCCGTGAACCACGCCCTTGCTGCTGCTGCTGCCGGTGGGCTCTTCCCTCCATTGGACTCGGAAGTGACGTCAACAACTGTTGCTCGGCGTTTCACCTCGCGGCTGTCGTCGGCGTAGGCGTTTGTCGTTGTCGTGGTTGTTTTGTTGTTGTTGGACGTTGGTCTTGGATTGTTGTTGCCATTTAGCTAACAAGCGCGTGCCAAGTAAAACCGATCCACGATCGATGCAGAAACTTTTGGCTCACAGCAGTGCCCCCGGGCAAAGGAACCCAAGAATCGATCCTCACAAAATAACGGAGCAAAAAACGCAGTCCCCAACCACCGGACGACGGCACAAAACAACGACCCCCCCGTGGCACGAAACACACCTTAGACCCACACCGGTCCTCTTCGGACAGGAGAAAACTGAAGCCACTGATCCAGTCGGTTTTGGGGACCACTAAAAAAAGAAATGACAGAAAGTGCTGTGATATCCGGGCGAAACGCTTCGAATACAGGACGGCAAAGCACCTTCGACAGCGAGGTGCGGGGAGGATGGATGCTTCAAGAACAACGAAAACTATCCGAAAAACAGCAAGGTAAGCAGCGACAACCTCCCGCACCCGTGCGTAACACACACCTCATGGCCACAAGGATGGCCGCCGCCGATGCCACGAAGGTCTTGTTCGAGGGCTGGTGCTTGGGGTTTCGAGCCGTCACCTGTCCCGCTAGGTGCTTCGCTCCCATCTTTTGGATCTGTCTCGGGAGGGATCGAGTGTCTGGTGGTTACAACACACGGCACACGTGCGGCCGCTCCTTCTCTACTCTTCCCGCTCCAAAAAAAACGGGAGCTTTCCAGAAGCGTTGGCCTCCTTGTGACAGAATATGACGTATTGCTGGCGGCGGTCATCCTGCTGTTGCTGCCTCTACATAAAGTATGCTGTCTCTACCTATCACTTCTGTTTGGAAAATAGGGACCATTGTGAAACTCGCGTTTGTATCCGAATGGCCCTTATATTTTCGGAGAGAGTGGTACGTGGTGCCCTACGGCAACAGGTTCAAGCCGTGGGCTAGGAAGAACCCTTCGCACACCGCACCAGGCCGCCGTCGTGCCATAGCCTAGCCATGGACTAGTCACCACCGAGCACCGTCTTCAAGCAAGCGGGCGGCATGCGGCGCCTGGTCACCCGCATCATCTCTAGAGTAGCTTATCACGGGGTGGGTTGATGGATTGTCGGGCTGATTTTCCCGTAAGGCACCAACAGCAGCGACACCAATCGCAACAACGTCAAGCCACAGTTACATTACAACCAAAAAACACCGTCGCCACCAACGAAAAGACACAGCAGCATCGACACCATCAACAACAGCAACAACCATAAACTCTGCGACCGACGGAATCAACTAAAAACGACACCCCAGAAACGCACCATTTCGCCGACCCCGGGAGTGCAGCTGAACTTGTCCTTGGTGTCCACGGCCTCAAGAGAGAGGCTGAGGCGAGCCACCACCTCTCGAAAGAGAGTCGCGGTCAAGCGTGCGCTGCTGCTGCCTCTGTTCTTTCTCGCCTTCTTTTGCTCTTCCTACTCGGTTGTTGTGTTGAGAGTTTGGGTAGGACAAGTGAGGGGGNNGGGGGGGGGGGGGGGGGGGGGGGGGGGGGGGGGGGGGGGGGGGGGTACAGATTTTGTGTCTGTCCTTTGATGGCTTGACTTCGAAAAGGTGAGGAGGGGGACCGAAAATCACATGTGCGTCTACGTCCGTCTTTCAATGTGTGCATTGCTCGATATGGATAAACATACGGTGACCCATACACACTGTCAAATGATTATCGTCAGCTACACTATTAACATATCAAACAAATCCTTCACGGTACCCCAGCAGTCTCCCAAAGGTGGGAACGCTAGACACGTGGAAGTGCAGAGGGCGGACACAAATGAGAGAGAGACAACCATCATCTGTCGTGATGTCTTGACTCGGCAAATATATCCAGTACAAGAGCAACGCGAGTGTTGGCATACACTGGGGCCTGTACCACAAACAGTACTTCTTGCACATCGACCTGCGTACAGCAGTATTGTCGTTTGTCGGTGCGTGTGTGAAGTCGGCGTCCCCGGCTCAACCGCCGCGAGCGCCAGTTGCGGAAACATCGACTCCCTTACACATTGAGCTCCTTGTTATTTTTGTTTTTTCCTTTGCTGACTGCCTGCCACCTCTGCTGCCTCTTTGGTGCGGTGCCTACCCTACACTAATGCGCTGGTGCATACTGCACTGCTGTAGTACCTGGTACTGGTGTACGTTGTCCTTCGATTTTTTATTTTTTTTGTGGGAATATATATGTGTTTGTTTTTCGCCCCCCGTCTTGCTGCACCCCCTGGGGTGTGGTGCAGGGCGGGGGATGCCTGGTCGGCGGGAACCCGGCACGGAACCCTCCGGCGTTGTAGGCGGGTGTGGGAAGCGTTCCCCGTTCTCCTTTTATTTTATTTTGATCGGTCTCCTCGACGCTCTTTCTCGTTTGGTGCGGTAGCTGGTCTTTCTTTCTATCATTTTGTTTCTCTTCCGAGTGGTTTTTGTACCCTATTTTTTTCTCTTTCTTCGTGGGGTCGTGTATGCCGGGTTTTGAGACCACGGGCTCCCAATCTTTTTTTTTTTTAGAGCTAATGTGAGAAACAACAACAACAACAACAACAACAACATTCGCCCCGTACGTTGCTCTCCCTCGCAGTTTGTAGTAGACTCCTCGTAGTACTGCACCGCGCATGGAAGGAATACCTCTCTTTTAAATAAGTACAACGGAATTTCCCGACCAACCATGTACACACGATCATCTACCGAGTAGCTGCCCTGGTGCGATTCTATGTAGACTATGCATAGAAGTATATTATGCATGCACCCGGATGTTTCATGTCAAAATCCCAACGGGCACCCTCCACACAAAAACGCGGTCCTGCAATTCACAACAACATTGATCTCACTAGAGCTTCTCTCGGTGTCCACCTGCAACTCATCTCCACCAGCCACATCGAAACAATTAACTCATCAGTTGGGTGTGATGGTTGCTGTGATGTGGGACATCGTTTCTGTAATTAAACTCACGATTAGACCGCGAATGAGCCCCCAGTGTCGGGAACATCGCCCGTGCACGCAGGAGACGTCTTCCCATCTCGTCGGCGGTGGCTTGGTGATGGGGAAAGCCAGCATCCGAGGGTCTAGCGCCCAATCCGAATCCATGTTCTGTCCCGTCGCAGCTGCGCTGGTGTGCTGCTGTCTGCTGCTGTCCCCACGACGAAAGAGCCGCCGCTGCATCCCACACAGGCCCAAGACCTGCCGTACCATCATGGGGAACGCAGGGGGTTTGAGATTTCAGATTGTTGCTGTCGACCACTACAAACATCGGGACACGGGCAGAGTGTGACAGAGCGAGAGGCTACCCACCCGAGACAGTAGCAGACCTGAAGGAGATGTGTACCGGAGTCCGGAGCCGGCGCTTGCTATGACAGAAGGTTCAACGGGCCTTGGCCGAAGTATTTGTGCCTCATTTGGAAGGAGGCGTGTTGTTCGGCGTCCCCCGACGAGACTGTAGAGTTTTTTGGTCGTCGGAGGCCGGCTCTCTCAAGCTCCATTCTATCAAGGGCGACAGACAGACAAACAGACAGTGATTTGAACCGTCCCGTGGGGGGCGTGTCGTTGCGGGAGTGGATCTGCGGTCATGTCCGTCGGAAGCAACAGTGCCACAGGGCATGCGCACGCACAGCAGCCTCAGCAGCAGGAAGATCAGGAGGATCTGTTTCCCCCTGACAATTTTTCCATGGTTGACGCTGGCATATACCGAAGTGAGTCCAGGTCCAGATACAGCCCCAGCACATCGTTGGTTTGGCGTGCACTGGTGTTCCAGGTAGCAGAGAAGGCCGTAGATGATTGCTGTGTGTACGGCACATGGCCTTCGTTGCCCGCTTCGGACGGTGATAGAGAGGGAGACTCCACACGAGAGCTTACTGATGTTTATTATCATCTCTATCGTCTTGTGTATGCGATGATCTTGTGTGATGTGCCGTGCATGCTCTCCCGCGGGCTCTTTTTCTTTCGTACATTCGCTCCGGAATCCTCGACGGTATGCAGGTTCATTCCCGATGAAGAAGCACTTCCCGTTCCTACGCAAGCTCGGTCTGCGAACGATACTGTGAGAGAAACATAGATCGAGATGACGTCTTTCATGTTCTCATTGGCTCCTAAAATAGTAGCAGTCTCTTTCTTTGTGTCCCGTATTTCAGCCGGTTGCAAGATAGTACTTTATTGTCTGCTGGCAGGTACCACATGTTGACATGGTCCGGGATTGAGGAGGGTTTTGCACAACTCTCGCTTGAAAAGGAGCGAAACGTTGCACGGCAAGTTGTCCATATGACTATGTGGATGGCTTCGTCTGATGCTCCCCTTCCTATCGTTCTCCATGTTTCACAACCCGCCGTCGTGTGGTTACGTGCCCTCTGGCGCAGGACGCTGGTAATCGAAGAACTCCCACCGGCCAACCTGGACTTCGTGCAGGCTCACGGGATCCGATTGGTGCAAATCGGGGTTGAAGGAAACAAGGTATTAGAGAAAGTAGGCGGCCTTGACACAATAGGACAAGTGGGCGATAGGATGCAATCCGACCATAGTTGGGGCTGTGTTTTGTGGAACTGACTAGTCTAATAGATTAACTTGATCGTACAAAAGATATACGCCCAGCTCATTAGCACCCACAAAGATATACGCTCAGCTCATTAGCACTCGGCTGGATAACTTGGGTATTTTAATGGCTTGGGATTGAGAGCAGGGATCTCCTGGGACGGACCCCTCGCCAGACGCTGCCTGAAAAGAACTTAACGATACATGGGAAAGTGAGTAGCCGGGATTCGAACCCGTGCATACAGCCTTTATCGACAACCGTTAAACCATTAGTCTAGTAAGCAGACTTGAGGCCGTTTCGTCTGTGCCCCTAACCCAACCGTACATCCGCTAGGGTGTTTTCCTTCTTCTCCTTGCTTTCTCCCCTTTGCCTTTCTCGATTTCATGTTTGGCTCGCCACCCTCCAAAAGTTGCGTATCTGCCTCTTGTTATCTACTGTAGGTGCTTTGCTCGCCCCTGCGCGCTTCCCCTCACGGTTTGATCCTGACCATGTTTAGCCTAGAGCACTCTCGCGTTTTTTTTGCTTTTCGTGTGTCATACAGTCCATCTGATCCGTTCGGTCAATATTTCTTCTGTGTCTTCGCGGAACATCGCAGGAGCCGTTCAAGTACATCCCCCTCGAGGAAGTGAGGTTTGCCGTGCGAGAAATGTCAGGCAAGTGATCTAGCGAGGCAGAAAGCCTACTGCGAGCACGCTGACTGCTGTTGCTAGTGTTGTGGCAAGTGCATCCTAACCGTCAGTAGCTGCTGGTGCCACTGCGAAAACCATCAAACTGTCTCCTGGAGGGTAAGAGTCAAGGCTCGTTTGCTTAAGAAGCAACGCCGAGCGGGGTTGGGAGTTGTTCGACGTGTCGGAGCGTCACTCAGTGTAGATCAACTGTACATTCATGAGATGACCATCCGTCACGCCTGTTGCTGTCTATGTTCGCAATGCGGCTTGCGTCTTCTTTCTGAACACAGATGCGAGTAACCACCCGATGCTGGTACACTGTAACAAGGGGAAACATCGCACAGGCTGCCTAATCGGCTGCTTCAGAAGGGTGAGAGTTTCCGTGGCCCCGTGGATCTTTGAACGGCAGAAGCACGCCCTGAGGCTCTGGGGTCATCGTGGACGGGGATGGCAGTGTGTTGAACCATTCAACATTAGTCCACAAAGTTCAGCATCATCGCTGGTTGCTCACTTTTTCTCTCCGCTATGCTCCGTCCGACCGCCGAGGCATGCAAAACGTGAGCACGCCCCTCCCCCCCCTCCCCCATCCATCCGCCTTCATGCTTGGTGTCTTGCTTCGCTGGGACGAGCAGACCCAAGGATGGGCTGTGAGCTCGATCTTCGAGGAGTACTCCCACTTCGCTAGTCCCAAGGCCCGGCTCGTCGACCAACGGGTAAGACCCTGAGGTTCACGCCCATGCTTTTTCCCCTGTGTCCTAACCATGTTCTTGCGAGGTAGTAGTTTTTGAGTAACGATCCTCACAGCATCTCCTTTAAACATATTTAGTCACCGAGGGTTCCGTAGAGCGCCGATCTCACGACGCGCTTTGACTCGCTAAGGCGACCGGTAGTGCCCACTTTCAAGGATGTTCATGTTCAGATTTTACGTGAAGATTGTGAGCAGTCGACCAGTCGACCAGCTTGGGTACGCGAAAAAAACGATCGAACGCCACCGCTTTCTGAATGCGCGGCCATCGCAACTTCGCTCAAGGGCTTCTGTCGTTGGAGGGTTGACAGCAGTTCAAGCAGCCAGGCTGGAGGCTGCTTTAGACTGATCCTCGCCACCGCTATCTCGGGGAAGTACCGGCTTTGATGTGTCGGCGAAAAGTCACGCCCTTCTTTAGCTCTCCCGGCGTGGGCATTCGGTGCATGACCTCGAGAAGCAACATCGACGTCCACGAAGTTCCTCTACACACGACTCTTGTACTTGCCCCGCCCCGACACTGCTGTCCCCCCCTCTGACTGTGTTGCGCTGCGGTTTGTTTCCCCCCCTAACAACGCTCCCAGTACATCGAACTCTTCGAGCCCGAAGACGAGAATGCCGCTTCCAAAAAGAGTGTGCTCACGTCCCGGATATGGATCTCGGAGCCCGCAGATCAACCGGGCAAGCTTGTGAGATAGCGCAGTTTTATGTGCTGTGCTGTGTTGGGTGTGTGTGCATTTTTGTGCACTTCGTTCTGTTGCTGCTGCAGTTGATTTCCCGAGGTGTGGCCCGTGCGTGTTGCGGTGTACACATCGGTAGACATGGCCGCGTCTGTTGAATGTTAACGTTTTGGTGTAGATCCTGGCGTGGGGGGTCTGTGTTCATGGATGTGCGGACCTGGCCAAGAAATGCACATACTAGAATTGTGAGTACATCGGTGTTGTACACGAAAATCGTGTGCTGCCATCGTAAACCTTGGACTTACGGCTACGATACTTTAATTTTATTGTGTAATGCTCGGCGAGCACTGCTGTGCGAGTGCCATGACCCGGGGTTTCCCGCATTGGAATGCGCTTCGCTCCATTTGTGGAATGTACATCTTCGGTTGGGCCATCTTCTGCGTCAGTCTCGGCCAGGATACCGTAGCATGTTTATGTGGTAGGTCCTGATCCGCGCCACCATGCGCGACGGCGCACGCCTCGAAGACCACTCAGGAGCGTGAGATTCAGCAGTGTCCAATGAATAGGGACAAGATTCTTGCGTACCGAAAACGCGGCAGCAGTCACTAGCACGGGAAAATAGCCCATGCGTGGACACAGCAGATCATCAAAATATCCCGCGCTGACCGGAAGGCCGAGACCTCGGCGGGAATACATATCGTCCCCGCCGGGCTAACTCTAGGAGGGTCTTTCGCAGAAATTTACCATAGAGCGTGTGCACGTAGTGTTGTCCAAACTCAAGGTCGGTATACAGGCAGTTGGTGAGGTATATATCTGTGTGCGGTAAAAAAGCAGCAGGCCACGGATGCGCTGCGACGGAACTATTCATAAGCTTCAAGGGAATGTTTTGATATTCGCACGTTGACATTGAGACCATCACTCTCGACAAGGTCGTGAGGTCTACTGTGGGGTCGGGAGATGGCAAGAGAGACATATATTGGGGTAGGCGCACAAACAGTACGCTACAAACACATATTCGAGCAGTTCCCGTTTTATAACACGTTTCACGGAACAACCGGGTCTCGCTGACTTTCCCCTGAAAAGCCCCAAACGACAGGTGTTTCCAGGAATAAACGATGTGGGGCCTCTTCGATGTTTCATGTGCTATGTATCGCTTTCCTGCCCCCCAACTCTACTGTCGAACACGCAGCCTCGTGCCTGACCGTGGCGTCCCACATTGCCGAGGATATACGCACCCAGATCGACTAATAATTGGAAATGACACCACAGTTTCCCTGGCCACCTCTCCTTGTCCGCCGTCTCCCCTGGCCATACCTCTATCCACCCCCAACCAGCACTTGGGGGATGGCGTCGTTGGTGATGCACACGCACAATAGAAACCGTGGGGAGTGCGGCAACAGGCCAACCGTGTCATCGCATCCAACTCCCGAGCCAAGACTTGCCACCCCCATCCCCACCGTCCGCGGCGCTCCGCCGGCCCCCCTTGGACTCCTCCACACCACCATCGCCCCGTCCTTCGCCCGATCGAGGCGCCGGGGGGGGGGGCGCTTCGTCTCCTGTTTTCAGACACGCCTGATCGTGTTTGGCCATGCTAGCATCCACCCACCGGGTGACGTCCTTCGCGAGCTTGCGGTTGGTCTTGAGAAGCGCTTTCGCTTTCCGTTCGACCTCGGCCTCAAACCGCGTCGCCTGCGCCCTGCTTTCTTCGTCGTCTCCGGACGAGCGCACCATGCTCCTGAAAGAGACATACCAATTTCAACGAAAGGGGGGAAGGGGTCCGTGACGAACTACTTCACCTTCAAAGGACATCTGAGCGAGCGAGAACATACTGAATAGGCGCCACGGAGTGGAGTGAGCTACTTGAGGAACTCCAACAGATAGAATGGTCATGAGGGACATATTCGCCAAGAGCAGTATACATGTGAACGGTCTGAGACGTAGAGATCGTTCAGAGCCTGGTAAACGAGAACCTAACGTCCTACATGCGGCGCGACGCCAAGCTACAGATGGACCGAAGCGAAGAGGCGACGGGACCTTAAGGTGTTCGACTGAAGTGTGATCGACCGACATGTAACATGCCTGGCATCTTTTCGGGCCTGGCCCACGTGGTGCTGGGCGAGGTGACTGCCGCCCCTCATGCGGAGGGCCGTTAGGCAGTGCGCCCGAAGCTTGGCCCTCTCCTCCCGGGGCCGTTTCTTCTGGCCCATCGTGAGCCTCGCTAAGCTCAGCACCAGCGTGCACGCCTCCACAACCTAGTAATGGAACGTATTGAATCAGAGCAATGTTTCGATCAAGGAAAAAGAAAGGAGTTCAGTGCGTCGATACAGGAGGCGTTTGCAGCTGGTGGGGACGAGGTATCACTCTCCGCGCCAGCGAAGTGCCTATTGTAGCTCGGCGTGATTTCGCCGGAAGCTTTCAATAAAAAGTGCACCAGAGGGTGTTAGACAGGGTTCTCTTGTTCCAACAAATTAAAACAGTATGGACAGGAACACAGGCGACTCGAAAAAAGAAATTGCGTTCTGGAGAAGTTAACTCCCTTTGTTCCGCGACCCGGTCTTCGGTCCTAATCAGACTCGCTCGCTCGCGTTCTGAAGAGCATCGAAGCATACATTGCAAACCGAAAAGAGATACACTAATAGCAGATCTTGCTCAGCACGCGTAGACACTACATGACCAGTGACTAGCCACTGCTGTGATCAGCTCCGCTCCCCACCTCTTCGTGCCTCCCTCTCCTGAAAGAGCAGCGCGCCAGGTTAAGCCTTGCAGCGCACCAGACACACGGAGATAGCGGCACGCCCAGCACCCTGTCAGGCGAGACGCCGTCTTCTTCGTCGTCTTCTTCCTCCTCTTCTTGGTGCTCCTCGTTGCCACCGGCGGCGCTCTTGACTGCTGCTTCATCGTAGATGACGTCGTATGTCGGACAGGGACCATCACCCTCATTGGCGTCGGAAACCATCCCGGAACGGTAGCGAGTGGCGGTGGCGCCGTTAGGAAGCACTCTCACCAGTACGGTTGCGCCTGTGTTGTTTTGGTGGGAAACGCAAAGTTGGTCAGTGGCAAACGAGAGGCGAAAGAAGCGTCGGCGGGGTGCAGGATGGAAGAGCGGATTGCCGCCGTAGCATACTCCGGCAATCGCAGGGAAAACACACTTCGCGGTGATGGGCGGGGGCGGCACTGGATTCCGGAATACGGGAATAACATCGATCGATCACGGGATCGTTTCATCAATACTAGGCCGCAGGCGGCATGCACCCCCCTTTCCCCCCATAGTAAGGTTCTCGAGGAGAGCACATGGATGCGAACCGATTGGGGCAATGACGTCAAGTACATCGACAAGACTGCATTGAAAACCGTCTGTTGGCCAGTGTTGAGGCATTGGTCGAATCCGGGCGTGCATACCACGAAAGATCTTCACCGACCAAGTACTACCGGACAAGCTGAAGAGAAGCGTCTAAACATGAACACTTCTGACTCTCCGCGAAAGACAGAAAGCCCGGAAAATATTGGTTCTCCTGCAGGACCAGTAGACGTGCGAACACCTAATTGGGTTCATTGTTCGGCCAGCAACACTGCTGTGCTTCCCCGAAACTCACGCTAACGGAGATTGATTTCAAGCCGATAATAAATAATGGGGTCCCGAAAACCCGCCCACCCAGTTTTAACGGAACAAAAAACAACCAGCGACCTTTCAACCTAACCAACCCCTTCCGCCCGCTCTTGACTTACCGACAACTGGTGCCCGCTCAAGAGTCCTCAGCGCTCGGGCGAACATCTCCGCAGCGGCATCCGTATCTCCCAACTTGAACAAAGTGTTCCCGCCGTCCTTGAGTCTTTCTCCCGCCAACGCGACCTCCACCTCGGCCACCGCTTCGATATCCTCCGTGCTCTGGTCGAGCTCGAACGGCTGCAACGCTGATAGGCTCGAGGCGGACAGTCCTGTCAGCTCTCTCTCGGTGGCATCTTCTTGGCGGGCGTCGGCGGTGATGCTAGATGGCGAGGAAGCAGTGGCGATGGCGGTGGAGGTCGGATCTGGTGATTGGAGAAGCACGTCGTACGTGGGGTTTTCCTGTACCCGAGAGGAGAACCCCACCGACGGGAGAGAGCACGTTAGTAATGGCAGCGAGTGAAAATGGGATACAAACAATGACTTTAATACCATGGAGGGTTAGTCTATGTATGCAAACGACGCGTGGGTACACGTGTCGCATGGAACTACTACGAGGGGTGTGTTGATCATGCCGAATACCACAGCCGTTTCGTCCTGTGGCAGCAACCAAATCACACTTCACACAAACCCTTCACGCTGTCCGTGCAATCCTTTACGTGTAGTCCATGTACACATGACAACGTCTTAGCATTCGAGAGATAAATCAAACTGCTGCGCGGAGACTATGTACTATGTACCATCCATGGCAATCACCTCTTGTGTGCTCCCGACACAAAGAATGAGCCCTCGGCAAGATTTCCCGGGCCCCGTACTGACCCGTACTCTCTCTCCCACGCTATGCATTGTACTGACAGAGTGCGATTGCCTGGGCAGCACCTCTGGCACAAGGTAACGGGGCTGTCTCTGTCTCTGCTGGTGTGTAGTGTGGGGCTGGTGGGCGGATTGCGGAATGATTAACAGCGGCTCCGTGTGTGTGTGCTCCCACATACCTGGATGTAACATGATTTCCATTCGACGTAGCCCCGTTGTATGATCACACCATGTCGACACATATCGACCTCTCCTTACACCTCAAACCTGGGAATGGAGCAAACCACTCGCTGCTATGTGCACACGACGACACGTGGGTAATTTGCCGGACCTCGGCAAGTGATAACATTTACTGCCTGTGCTATTCATTTCGCAATATAATAAAATCGGTAACAGCATCAAATTGATTGATTGCTGCATGCAGTCGAGCCCGCTTTATTTAAGGACGCACATGGTTTTTCCTGTAAAAAGCGTCCTTGAAGCGGGGTTGCGCCCTTATAATTCTGGGGACGTTAGCTCACCATCCCCAGGGCCAATGGAGGCATGCTATACCTCAAACGACGCGTCTTTTGCTAAGGAAGGGGGTGGTACGAAAAGTCAGCATCGCCGAGACGACTGGCAACCAACCGTTTGTTGACGTCGAACATATTCACAATTCATACTTGAAATGAGATTCACAGCAGCAGCAGTCGGGGACGTGTTGAAAACAACTACAGTACACCAGTTTGTACTTGGCCAACTAATGTACTGCATAGCTGGCAGCGGAAGAAGGAGGAAAGTCCAAGTAGACATATATTTATCTCATTCTTGTGAAACAAAAAAAAAACGAGCATATTTCAGCGTCGCACCGAGGAACACCACCACCAGTAGTAATTTACATATATAATATATCACTGTCGGTTTCCGAGGGCTCTTTTCTCGAACAGTCGGTGCGGTAGCTGGTATTTCTTGTTGTCATTTTGTTTTCTTTTTCCGAGTGGTTTGTGCCCTATTTTCGTTTTGTTTCCCCGCGGCGTCGTATGTGCCGGGTTTTGAGACCACGGGCTCCCCATTTTTTGTGGACTAGACTACATAATAGATAGATAGATAGATAGATAGATAGATACTCTGTTCTTTATTAAGTAGTAATAATGTGAGAAGCAACAACAACAACTGTCCCGGCGGAGACCAAAAGCTACCCTGATGGCTTTGCCTTCCACATATCGCGAAGAGTTCCCTGAACCTCCCCCCGCGGCTTGGCTCTACGGCTCTGTTGAGTTTCATGAGTAAACAAATTAACGGTCTTCGAAAGAAGGTACTGCGTCTCACGATACTCGCCATCCTTTCTTTCCCGTCGCGTACAAATAAATAAATACAGACAGCGCCCGCAGTTAAGAAAAATTCTGTAAGAAGAAAGGCTCAATCTGCTGCTTTGTTCGTTACGATGTGTATGGTGTCGGCACCGCCGTGCATCTCTCACCAGTGGTGGCAAATGAAGGCCGGCAACAAGCATTCTCCTGTATAGTATTATGCTGGTTTATATCGTCTTCGGGACATGGCCCCCAGACTTCCAGACATACATCAAGAGCGAGACCGAGCACAAAAAAGGGTCACGATCTGACAGGAGGGCCGTCTTGAAAGCCGATGGAGTGCTCCATCATTCGGCCCCAACGAACTTCCAAAATAAAAAATGTTTATTTTGGTCCTACCTTCATTTTCGGGGAATATCGCAGCGTAAACGAGCTACCCGATCTGGCTCTGGATGGTGAGCTGCACAAGTTCCATCTCCAGTCACCTCGTGACATATTCTGACCCAATTGGATCTGTTCGTATGCATTATTTACATAGATCGCTCATTTCCAAGTTCGTTGTAGGCCATGTCAAGGCACTACGCACACCGGTCAAGATCTTCCCAAAAAACGAAGAATAATTGAAACTGGACATTGTCAAGCCTGTCGTGGCCCCCGCTACTCTGACTAGTCTATTATATTATTCCACCAAGTTTTCCACCACAAGTCTAAGGTCGCTTCTGTGTCACACCGAGGAACTAATGTACTATTGTGTCGGCTTCTTCTGAGATCAGGCAACACCTAACATTTTGTGAAGACAGACCAACATTTCAGGCCCGACGCGATATGGGAAAGGCAATTCACACCTCAAAAACGTCTACAGCGTCGTCTTCAACACTGCACGCAAGCGATGATCGCGTCCTCCCCGCATCTTTCAGCAACAAACGTTTTTTTCCACGTTCTCTCATTCTTGTTACCACATGCCCCAAGGGGGCTTTCTTCGCCGAAACGGCCGATTTGTTTCACACCGCCTATGGAACTCCAGTAAACACGACGTAAAAACACCTGATGAAATCACAATTCACGACACTCCGGACGAAATCACACCAAAAAACATCAACAAACAAAAGCACCATTGAAATATTTTTACAGGAGGCGGACGGAGAACCACACCCAGCACGGATAACGTAGGTTGCCGTCGCTGAACAAATACTTCAACCCCCATGCGCACTCAAGATAACAGCGAAGATTCTCTTCTCGCGGAGCCCTTCCCCTGCCCACCCACCCCCAACTGCATGCAAAGACCGCCGCAGCGGAACCAGGCACCAAGTCTGTATTTTGTGTCCTTCTCGTCTCGCCCTCGCTCTCCCCAACCTTTAGGCCGGCATGCGAACAGCGTGCTCTACTACCGCTGGCCGCGCGCCATCTTGAGCCGACTGTTCCATGCTGTTCATCCCCCCATTGCCGCTTTCCAAGCCCATCTCCAGCGCCTCCTGCGCTACCCGGTCCTCCTCCAGAACCTTGTTCAGGGCGCGCTTGGCGTAGACGCTGATCAGCACGACCGCGATCACGGTTGCGATGCCCCCGACAATCCCCACGATGAGCTGCACCGTGCCGTTGTTCCCGTCCTCAGACTCCTCCTCCTCCTCCGAGTCGTCGCCCAGCAGCCCGGACGCGGTGGTGCCGATGAACACAAACGCGACGGTTCCGGGGATGAACCCCACACAACCGATGGCATAGTCCCTGAAGAACACGTCCGTGACTCCCCTGATATTACGCAAAAAACAGCCGGAGAGAGGAAAGGTAGGGTGGTGTGAGCGAGAGCTGCGGTGGAGGGAGACTTCCGCAACTTGCCAGTTTTGTTTCCTGTGGAAACTGTCGCATTCCGCTCCGCACGAAGCATCTCCGAAAAAAGAATGGACCGTTCTTTCGATTCATCCCCTCCCATTTTATGGAACTTATCCCCATCGGTGACCAAACCCAACCCCGCGGACAACTCAATTTCGCGTGAAAATTTTGCAGGGCTGGTGGTAAGTACGCAACCAGTTCTACAGCAGCAAAAACCGTCAACGGGAATGTCCTCACATGACGTAGTTGAAGGCGCTGAACGGCACCACGGGAGAGAGGCGAAGGAGAATCACCAGCTTCAACCCCTGCGACTTGATCGCACGGTTGACGGCCTTGAGGACCTTGAACTTGTTGAACAGCCCCTGGGCCTGCTCTTGGAGGACGAAGCGGCCAAGCAAGAAGGCCAAGATGGAACCGACTGTAGCACCGGCCTGTGGAAGTGGCACAATCGAGAGAGGACGATCAATCAGGGCTGCAAGATCAGCAATAGGAGCAGCGAGCGACCTGCGCCCTACGGGCAAGGCGAATTGTAGAGTACTTCAGATTGGGTAACCTTAAGACTACGCTGAACATGACTCTGATGCTCTCGGAAGGTATGTTGCAATTACCGAGAAAAGGCGGGGATACCGTTCGACAAACCATGACACGAGCACGTGCGATCGTTTCGCATGCGGTTTCCCGGCGCTCACGGTGCAGCATTCCCTTACCGCGACGGGTCCCACACGCAAACGTGCGTAGACGACCACCTTTGGCTAGTTTCGGGTTCAGCCCCCCGCCACGAGCATCAACGCTGAATTCTACGCCGCTGGATGTTCGAAACAAAGCCGCAGACTAGCCGTAGGTTTTATAAAACTCCCTCTTTGTAGGCTCCAAGACTCACCAGCACAGCAAGGGACCCGACGAGAATGCCCAAGCCAGTCCCCAGCGCTCGGCCGAACACCAGGCCAGCCCCCAGCGTGAGCAGCGAGCCGGGGATAAAGCACACGGTGGTGAAGACGTACACCAGGGCGAAGGCAAGCGCACCGAGCCCGGGGTTGTCCTCAACCCACTCCAGGAAGGACGTCAGGGTATCCGCGACGAAGCCTAGGCCGGGAACCTGGGGGGTGCAAGGCGACAGCGACAAGAGGTAGCAGTAGATGCATTAGCATGGTTACACTTGGACCGTTCCGGACGTGGTGCAAGGTCAATTGTCGCTGAACGTGGGAGCTGGATGTAGTCTAGAAGAGATGTGCCTCGTTGGTTCGTTCTTCTTATCGAGTACTGTAGGGAAGAAAACGTTGGTTGTGAAGAGAGACGAATACAGCAACGTCCTCCATCGCAGCAGAGAGAAAAGTAGCCGACGAAATCCCCATGCAAACCATACAAGATCGCCCAGTTTCATGTATTCGCCGCACTCTCTTCGCTCGGTGTTTTTAAGATCTTCTCGCAGAATTTTCATCGTTCAGGTAGCATTTCCTACGCGTGTGCTCTGCTGTATTGCTATCTACCAACCGGTGGCCCTCACTGCTAAATTTATTTAGGTACGAAGCGAGGCAACACCTCGCCCAACAGCTTCTGGCAAAACCTATGGTACGAGGCGGTTCTTGGTAGGGTGCATGCAACCGGCGATCGGTAGAACGGCGGGATGATCGATCCGCAAAAAGAACAGGCACCCACGGGGGCGAAAAAAATCTGGCGCTCGATACATGAACAGCAGTTTGCTGTCTGAAGTCGCGTACGTTTGAGGGCAGGTTTGGACCAGCTGGATTGGACAAACACGGGGAGCCCCGACGCACACACCAACACCGAGAGAGTCGCACACACACAATGCCCTCAATCGCAGCCTGCACTGTGTGCTCGCTCTTTGCCTATACTAGCCGTGATTGCGGTGAGCGCCCTGCAACCTCTTTGGCATATCTGTAGAAGAAGGGGCAGAGAGCCCGCCAGCTGTTGTTGCTGTAGACTGCAATGTATCAACACCCAAGTGCAACATTCCACATTCTGATTCTGCTGCCAGAGAGCGGCTCGTGGCACGAAAAACACTCGCATGTCGTCTCACCGTGTAGTCGAGGATGACGTACACAACGATGACCACGAGGGCCAATAGTAGTCCGGCCTTGATGAGCTTCTGCTGCTTGGTTGGCGGATCCGGGGTGTCGTCATCGTCGACAACTGCGTCTACTGCTGCTGCTGCCGGCTCGCTGCCGTATTCTTCGTGGTGGGAAAGGATGACCATCGGGCTCTCCATGGCTGACTCCTGTGACTTTAGTTGTGTAGCGAGTTGTGCTTTGCTCTTGGGTTGCGAGTGTCGAGGCCTGGCAAAAGCTTGTTGTTGTGGGAGGAGAGGCTGTGATGGAGTGTGAGGCATACGGTGGTGCGACGAAGTGCTGCCGACTCCAACGGGAAGTCGGGCGGTCGGCAACCCCGGGCGGTCTCGGCACAACGGTAGAAACTGTCCCACCGAGAGACACCGAGCCGACAAGCCAAAAAGTAAAAAAATTACTCTTTTCTCTGACGGAGATGGACTCGTTGTGTTGTATTTGGAAAAATAAAAAAAAAAAAAAAAATTACTGCCGATTGCAGAGATTCAGAACATTTAAAAAGCGTAGATGAGCATGCGGAGATACTGACTAAAAAATAAATAAATGACATCTCCGAGACCGTTACAGCAGCATATTGCTAGAGTTCCTGTTTCCCAGCATACGTCCTTCAAACAACAAAAGGATCTTCGTAGATATGTATGTAGGTAGCGCATCCCACTCGTGACTTGTGACCTCCTGTTTCGAGCTTTCAAGTTGCAGAGTGCGGAGTTTCTGAGGTGTGGTGTGCGTGCGTGTGGTGTGGAGCCGAACATGAAGCGCTTGTTCAAGATATCATCGGGAGAGCACGGCAGAGGAGCGGTCATTGTCAAGTGGCAGCCAGAGGGAAACTTTCTGGCGACAGCTGGGCAAAACGGTGGGAGCCCTCGGGAAAGTCTAGACTGTAGACTACAGGGAAGGAATTATACGGCTGCTCTTGCTTCTTACACCGTATGTACTTTGGACGTTGCTAGGACTCTCACCAGCAAGTCCATGAAGCGTGCGCATAGACTATAGTCTACAGAAGGAAAAAAACCGTATAGACCTGCTCGGTGCCCACACAACAGTGTGTTGAGCATCTCTCCGGCTCCGCGCGAGTCGCCGCATGCGGAGCCGCCGCATCATATGTATATCAGCAACACAGCATATTATTTTAGCGTTTGTCAATAGATTTGGATCCTACCGCGCGCATCTTTGGCGTCAATCTACATCGCAGTACCGTCTTATTTAGAATAGACTAGTAGGAGTTAGCAGGTCGGGGACATGGCAACAGGGTGCGCGTTGACCCTGTTACCCAAGGGAAATATATCACTGTGTGCTGCTCGAAAACCATGGAAAAAAAAGACTGTTGCTGACGCTATGGATTCATTGCTAATCTATCTTCGACTCTTTTCTCGATAGAGATGGATTCGTTGAGTCATACAGATGGCGCTCGCACTTAAGGAATGCAGCCTCGAAAAAATCAATATTTAAGAACTTGGACGTAAGGACACGTGCTCAGTTCCGACGTGGTATTAAGAAGAACCTGTATTTGTAGTGTACAAAAGCAAGCGCTAAGTCCCCCAAAAGTGGCAGCTGCAAGATAAGGACTCATAAAGGTGGTTGGGGTGACTCACGGGGTGCCCGGTGACCCCACCCATCGGCAGTGTCAGATCAGCGACGAGGAGGGGCATCTCCGGTTCAAATAATAATGAACCGCGGAGCGAGCGAAGCTAGCAACATTTTTTCCCCTTGTCCCCAGGAGGAAACAAAAGGCTCTATATATCGGCCAAAGTAGCGCCGCGCGATACAGGGCCCCCAAAACTTGGTTTTCGGGAAGCCTATTTAGCACACCTTTGGGACCAGAACGAGATCTAAAGGGCATCGATTGATGATCTGCTTGCTTCTGAGGGAGAAGAAAAGTAACGCACTCTTCTCCACACCGGTTTCGTCGTGCTCCGAGAGCAGATGGCCGTGCTTCACCGGCATATGTAGCCTGTATTCGTAGGAGATTTTGCTCCCCAACCCCGGGGTTTCTACGCAAAAAGGCGTGCACAAAAGCGGAGATTGCGCGCGCGCGCGATTCAGACCAGGACAACACCTACAGAGACGCAAGAACACCACCAACGAACGCATCACCGCTGAGACGCTGGTCTGAGACCAGCTATGAAAAGCAGGAGGGGCCGGGCCTATACGACCTGCACACCGTGCGTATACTGTAGGCATGCGCCATGTGTAACCTGGCGGGTATATATTGATGTTGAGTGGGTCCAACCAACTGCTTCAAAAAGAAACCGATGATCACACAAATAACACACCTTCCCAATTCCAGATCACACCCACCATCATCGCGAGAATCCGTCGAGGGCGTGAGGGTCTACAATACTACTGCTGCTGCTGTGCGTTATCAGGATGGTTCCCCGTGGGATTGGTTCAGATTGCGTACTTGCGCCGCGCTACTGGCTGTCTTCGCAAAGAAAGCGGTACCCTGCATGCTGTTGTTGCTGCTGCAGACTCTGCAGCAGGAGGTCACATGAACATCAACGGCTCCTTGTTGTTTTTGGTTCATGCTGGACTGCTTGCGTTCACTTGGGCAGGAAACTCGGAAGGCTTGAGACGAATGTGGCGGGCAAGTTGTGAGCCTGACGCAATATTTGCCATCTGTCGTGTCACAATCCTTTGTCTACGCTGCTAGTCGTGCTCCTCAACGGTGTAATGTGTGATACGCTCGCCGCCAGGGGGATGATGCCGCATGTCTGTGTGCTTCTTCCAGATGCGCAGGTGTGCGCGTTTGCGGCCGCGCTTCGCGAAGACTTCACATTTTGTTTCTTTGTGCAGAAAGAACCGCATGTAAAGTGCAAAATCTTGAACGGTGGCCGCACATACAAAACAATCATCGTCGCTCCCGTCGCACGCCTGCTGCCCCTCTGTGGTGCACGCGTAGCTACACCACACACGATTCACGCTGGTGTGTCGGGATTCGTGCACCATCACCATCACAGATAAGACTTCTGCAAGGTATTGAGTCGCACCACACGGCTCATTACCCCCCCATTTCTAGTGCTGGTGCGGAGGGGGGGGGGAAGGGAGGCGTACTTTTATGTTTTGCATATTTTAGTGGTTAGACCATTGACCATGTGCCCTCGAGCGGACGGAGTATCGTTCCCACAGGACCAAAGACCGATGGCCAATCGTTCCCTCCTACTTATCCAAAAAAGGTGTCTCAAAAATGCGTTTCCTCGCCTATCTATCCTCCTATCGGTATCACTTCCCGCCTCTTCAACCCACCACGTTCTATGCCCCGGTACAGTACAGCTGCCGTCTTCTCTCCTAGCTGGTATTCCATGCCTCAAACATCTCCCTGTACCTTCCTTCCACTTTTCCCGAGGCTCAGCAACGTAAAATCTCGGCCCCTTGTTGAACAGAAATTCCGCAACCACATGAACCCGGTGTTCGCACTCGGAGCCGCTTTCATGTTTTACCTTGGTCGGTGCGGGGGTGGGATGGGGGGGGGTAGGTGCTTCTAGCTTTGTTGTACGAGGCATACCCCTCGTCGCGTGTCATTGGGGTGCCTGCCACGCTGCGTGCCAAGCACGAGAGCCATGTCTATACCCCTTGAAATATTGAAAGAGCTCGGCCATCTGTCAAAAATTGAAAGGAGGTGTACTTCTTGATCTACACTTAGAGGCCATCAAAGAATACGTCATTGCTAGCAACCGCCCTCGAAGTCAGACTGGGAGGCCATCGAGTCGACGCGGGGGCGACGAAAGCTTTCCGACACCGCTTCCTTCGTCGCACCCACGGGNCCATGTCTATACCCCTTGAAATATTGAAAGAGCTCGGCCATCTGTCAAAAATTGAAAGGAGGTGTACTTCTTGATCTACACTTAGAGGCCATCAAAGAATACGTCATTGCTAGCAACCGCCCTCGAAGTCAGACTGGGAGGCCATCGAGTCGACGCGGGGGCGACGAAAGCTTTCCGACACCGCTTCCTTCGTCGCACCCACGGGTTTTCGAATTCAAGCGTCTGAACCCGCTGCTCTTGACAGTTCGTTCCTGTATGTGGAGTACTCGTATAACTGAGCATGGGCTAATTTGGTGAGCTGATCACTCAGCCGTCTCCGGAGCGTACCCGCCACTGTTTGCGACTACCGTGTGCATTTCGAGCTACAATTACAGTAGACCAAAGTACGCGCCGCATGATGCCGTTGGACAAGCACAGCGGAGATGCGGGTGCGGTGGTAGGGTCGTGGGCTTTGCTTGAGGGGAGCGCGCCGTAGAGCAGGGATGGATGAGGTCCGGCATTCGAAGAGTAGGGTGAATGTCGCAGTGTAGCTACGACGGGCGTTAGTAGATAGTCTAGAGCGGGGAGGACAATCACGCCGAACGTGACCCTTGTGGACCTCTAAATGGTTCAACGTGTTTGCGCAGATGCGACATAACTGCTGGCGATATCGCGTCTGTTAAACTCGATTCCAGAGGTCGCTGTTGAACGAGGTTCTATGATTGTACTCTGTTTTATGCATATGAAGACGCTGCTCTCAAGTGTCAAGCTGAATCCACCTAGAAAAAAAAAATGCCCTCTGAATGGGGCCGTCGGCGTAGAAATATAAACAAGAACCCCGTGTATCATACGGAGATGCCTGCTCGAAATGAGCACTTTGAAAAGAAGAAAAAGTGCTCATTTTGAGGCAGCCAATAAGCATCGAGCCCTGGCCAATATAAGCGGTTCATTAGTGCGGGCACCATCTGTACACGAGAAAATAAAAAACAAAAAACAAAAGAACGGCATGGCTTCTAATTCAATTTACGCACCGGGGTCGGGGTGCTATCTCGCCGACCTCCTAATCCAAGATTGGACTCATTTTCAGCTGCCGGAAAGAGGTACAGACACATGTGCGAGCATGTGGGGACTGTGTCAGCGGAGCGCCACCCCTTTATGCACGTAGACTTATGCATGGTCACGGTTCACGCGGGAAGCCGTTGCGTGCGTTGTATTATTTGTATGGAAATTGCCAACCGTACACTCAACCAAACACACAAACGTACATGCCGCACCCTTCCACCGTACACAAGCGCGAAACTATCGCACGTACTGCTGGAAGTCCGAAACGAAAGTGGGAGACAACTGATACCGTATGTAACAGTACCTCAGATGAGACCATCCAATGTCTGTCGTGACGCCATGGCCGAACTCGCATCAAACACAAGACCACCCACTGCATGGAAAGCTGTTTCGTAACAGCCTACGTTGCCGTTACCGGTGTGCTTGCAACCAGCAACAACCATACCTACACGTGTGGTTCTTTACTGATCAATAGCATTACGATGTGTCATAACTCCGTCTGCCTACACTCTGAACCAATATTATGGTACCGGTCGGGGAGCTGGCACCGGGGTGCGTGCAAAC